CACGTACCCCTAGCAACTCGATCCCTCCACACCTCATACTCTAAACCAAGTTTCACCCATGCGGGCGTTCCTTGGTCGCCCTGACCTGTGGACCGTACTACCTTCTTCTTCCCGGTCCCCTACCTTTTTCCTAGATAGGGGCCACGACTTCCCCATCCGAAGTTTCGCTGGCCCCATCATGCTCTGTCTCGTTCCCTAGATCTGGGAACTCGTCAATTTTTGTTGTCTTACCATCATGGTCAACGAACATTAACTGACCCTTTTTTTTCCAGTCTTGGGGAAGCTTCTTCCTCCTACCATCTGTTGGACCCTAATGCGCGGAACCAAGCTTTGCCTCTATATCTAAGGCTTTCTTGCTGAATGAGGCGAAATTATGTTGGTCAACATAGGCTTCATCTACCAGCTTAGTCTTAACCTCTGCAGACATACATCTTAGGTAATTTGTGAGGAGTACCTGCTGGTCATAGCGCACACCAGGCACCACAAGCAAACGTTCTATGGTGTCTGTGAGTTCGCGAACTTCTTGTACCTTTTGGCACAAAGATTGTTGATCGCGTTTGTGGCCTTCTTAGCCCCTTGAGGGTCGTGCCACCTATTATACACAGTCCGTACGAAGTCTTCCAATGTTTGGGCCTGGGCCCAGGCATCGAAATTCCGATTCTAGCCTTGTTGTTGCACTAACCCATTCAACCAACGCATTGTCGATCCCTCTAAAAAGGAAGCAGCAACTACGACCTCCTGCTCTGGCCTGGTGAGCTTGTGCCTCACATAGGTAGGCACAGTCCTCACCAAGGTATCCAGGTCCTCATCCTTTTTCCTGTCGCCAGAAAAAGGTTTAGGACTCAACAATGGGATCTTTGGTATCCACTGCATGGGCTGCATTGGCCCAGGGGATTGCTGCAGTGGCTGCATCGCCACTGAGACAGGGTTGCTGCGCGCTTACCTGAGCCTGCCATGACGATGGGACTGTAGTTACCACCGTCGTAGATGGTACGACAGAAACTCTAAGGACTGGACCACTAGTAGCTACATAACCACCTGGAGGGGGTATGCCAAACATAGGGGAGAAGGAGGGCCCAACCGGCGACGACGTCATTGATGGACCCACAAACGAAGGGGGAGCTACAGCAAACTGAGGCTGCCTCATTACTGGACGAGGAGCCTGTTGTGCAGCCAGAATTCGTTTCTGGCCTCCACTAGTTCAGCCAACACTTCCTGCTGAACAACCTGCGTCTCAGCCACACACAGGAGCGAATTCCGCAGGGCTTGTATAGCGGGATCAATTGCGGACTCATCTAGTGCCTCTAGCTTGCCTAGTTCCTGCAATCTACTACCTAGTCTAGCTTTTCTCATTATAGCTCTTCTTCTTCTCTCTGCTGCCTCGTCCAATTGTCGTCGTAGCTCATCCTGAAGTTCTTTTGCTTGGAGGATTTCATAATCCCCCGGCGTGAGTTGAGCCTGTTGGCTGACTTGCAAGCCAACACTCCGGCTAACGGAAGCCTGAGAACCACTCTGACTGACTCCTGACGAAGTGGCCTATGTAGAGGCCTGCGACATGGAGGAGGTGGCCATGGTTGCACCTGTGCTAGCTATAGCTCTAGACCTGGCGCTGGCCGCGGCGTCCCTCGCTCTCCTTGCTGCTGCCCTTTCTCTAGCCTCTCTCTGCAGTCTCCTCTCGTCTCCTGGACCTAACTCTAGGAAAGTCAAGGGTCGACTGAGAGCAGTTCTATGAGTGATCCTAAGGTCATCCACTAACAACTCCTCCTCACTAGTGCATGCATCACTCATGAGCTACAATGTGTGTGATCTAAACTAGAATCCACACTGAATCCTACCTCAGCATGACACACAACCGAGTATGATATACAACTAATTCCGGTTGGCCTGGACAGAGACAGTTAGGTAGTTAAGTGTGAACTAATGTCAGATCCTACAGGGAATGTTCATCTATTTTCAGATTACTCTACTACAGATTGCAATGCAGCAAAGAATATACTACTCTATCTGCAGTTGTCTGTCAGTTGTTAGACAAGTCCGTAACAACCAAATAATTAAAATTAAAAATAATGTTCCTTGCAGAGATGTATGCTGAATGGCAGTTTATCTAATGAATGCCACAGAGAACAGTTGCCTGAATCCAACCCTTTCCCTGTATCCCTCTTGAGTAATCACTTTGTGTCAACGCCCTGAGCATCTGGTTGAGCAGCGTTGAAGGTGTGCAATCCGGCCCACCCCTGTGCCCCAAGTCTACACCCAACCTGCCAGCCCCTGCACCTTATTTATCCTCGCATGCAACGAGCCTTGCACCCGGTTTGATCTGGCTGATCAAGAGGCAGTTTCAGGACAGCCCCCACGGTCCTCAGGAATTCTTTAACGTTGCAATCAGGACGACGATCACATCCAGAATCAACATCGAGTCCCCGCCAAAAATATTTAAAGACGGTCTGGAAAGCGTCTATTCAAAATGTTGGCATGCCCTGCGTGACATCTATTGGGCAACAGCAGAACCAAGGACTTGCGGCAAAGCATGCGTGTACTAGTCCCAACGGGTTGGCATGGTGACCGTGACCCGAGTGCTTCGTCCAGCGCCCTTCAGAGGCATCGCCCGTCTCCCACCAGCTTGCTGCCCAGGAAGAATGTTGACTCTCAAGGTTGAGCGCTCGCGACACCTCACAATGAGAGGACTCTCAAGACAAGACTCACTTCCTCACGGTAAGAAGCAATGGAGAGGGTAGATAAGGAAGGAAGCAACGTGCCTCATAATGCTGCCCCCAACCACAGATTTCTCACCAGCAACCAGATGTGCATTTATGATGACCGGTCATTACCTCGGCACAACCAATAGCAGAATGCAGTTCCACCTCGGCTTAAATGCCACATCAGCGAGCTCTCATCATCCAGCATACACCCCTAATGTCACCACATAGCTTCCTGGCGTGCCCACATGACCTTGGGATGCCAACCGTTCAACGCCCAAGCCTTATCATTGCCCCACACCTCATGCTAAGCACCGAACAGCTATTTGCGAAGAACCAATGAACGCAGTTCGAACCAGCTCCGATACCAAATTGCAAGGAATGTTACGGACTCCGCCAGGGCTCGATCCCTGGTCTATCTTTTTACTGTTTCGGCTGCATCCCGTTTTCGGCCTGGCACCCTTTTCCCAAACCCCTCCTTTGGTACCGTAGGATTTTGGACAACTGGCGCCATGCTGCAATTCGGGCGCTACTTTCAAATACCGCATTTTTCAGTTCTGCCTTCGGGGCCTTTGCAGAAATGCCCCTGATACTGTACGTGCCCCCACTGCCCAACCTCGCTTCCGCTCGCCCTTCCCCCCCCTCCGTACGATACCCCTATTAATCGACAAAACTATAATACTTTATTCTCCCATTTTGAACATTAGAATTACTTGAACTTGTTTATTTTTGAAAATTTACATTTTCCTTTTTGAAAGTAAATAACTAACGTTTCGTATTTCAAATTAGATTAGAATTTCGCATCTTCACCTTATTATCAAACATTAATTCAATTAATCTCCTTTTTTTATTTTATTTTTTGACATCTCCTTTTTTTTTCGAATTTCATTTTCAAATTTCTCGGCAATTACTTAAAGTTACTTAAAATCCAATCTAAATGCGTTAATCTACACTAAAATAAGTTAACTTCAATCAAATCAGTTTTAAACTTTTAGTATTTAATTCATTTAATAAAATTCATTGAAATTAATTACAGTCGCTTTAAATTCGTTTCAAATTTATTAAAATCCCTTAAATTACATTGATATTAAACCCATTCATTAAATATTAACAATTTAAATTTGCATTTAATCCATTAAAAATAAAATTTACAAGGACGATGAGCAATAGCGAACTTCAGCAATCAAACAGCATCATAGACATAAGACCAGATAGTCGTGACCTCGAACCAACAGCAGAATTGCATCACAAGTTTCACCAAATAAGAGCACACCAAAAGCTCATAACTGACAATGCTGGAATGGTCTCATCATCATCATCAACGAAGAACCAATGTTGATATCCTATCTGGCGCTCGACTCACAGACTACAGATGGCAGATCCTATCTAGCCTAGACTACAATGCCGAAGATGACGACAACAACTCTCCCGAAGTACGAGCAKATAGCGGCCAATGCCGCACGCTTCCAGCACCAGGTATGTCTCTCGCTTCACTCACAACCTCGTTCCCCAACACACAGATGCCACATGCACCCAAGGACCACCCTGCGCCTCACCCAGCTCCCAGCAGCACAGCTCGACTATGGCTGCCTGCTCCTTCCAGCTCGCCCGTGAGCGCTAGCCAGCATCAGCGCAGCAGCGCTTGCGTAGCATGCAGCCAGCACCCGAATGTCCAATGCGGAGGCAGGCCCTTTGCTATATGGAAGTGGCCTGCCTGCTGCTGCGCTGGGCCTGTCCCAAGAAGCTTCCGGTAGGCCCCGGTAGGCTGAGGCCCAGTCCAAACGAATCAGGCCCAGGGCCTGTGGTGGTTACTTGTGCCCAACTGTCCTCGGCCTGTGTTTGGCCCATATCCCGTATCCAGCCCAGGGCCTGCCTTCCATACATGCAAACAGGCGTCCTGGGCCTGGGTGCTCTTCAACGAACTGGCGCTGCGCAACTGCCTGAATTTTCCACAGTTGCGTGGTGACCGAAATAGGGGCCCTCAGGCCCTCGTTGAGCCTACCTTCACTTAGGGCGGCCGACGTGCTGCATAACAGAGCCAAAAAGGGCTCATCGGGGCCTTGGCCTCGCAATTTTAAATTCAAATAAATATTTGATTCATTTTTTTTAATTTTTTTTTATGTGGTCCGATGGACCACGGAGCAGATATTAAACTGATCAGAACAGATACTACACTTGATCTTAGCCAAAAGGCCGAGAAAGGTATATTTAATTCATTTCAATATTTTCTAAAAGTCATTTCTGTTTTAAATTTTGATTCTTTTTTTTTTTTCAAATTAATTATTTCGGAATTCCCGAATTTCGAAATTCAATTAAAATTCATTCCTTTTTTTTTGTAAAATCTTCATCTTAAATTTTAATTTTCTCGAACTAATTTATTGCGGGCATTTTTGCCGAATTAAATTAATTCCCACACCCTGCCTTCACATAAATCCCCAAATTCCTTTTATCCTCTCCTTTTTCAAAAAAATAAAAATAAAAAATCCTCCTTCTTGAAATTTATTTAATTCTTTTTTGACATTTTGTAAATTCGGAATTTGAAAAACCTTGGCAATTATCTTTATTTATTGATAAATAAATCAGAAACTCCCCTCTCCCCCGAATCTCCACATGCCACCACGCAACACCAAGAACTCCCAACGCGCTGCTGCCGCCGCCGCCGCTGCTGCTGCCGCCACCACTGCGGCTGCATCCTCCACATCCGTTCCGTCCGCGTCCTCCACCCCCTTTTCCCCCGTTACGACCGCATCCTCCATCAACATGTTTGACATCCGCGCCGACTCGGTCGATAGCATCACCCGCAACCTCGCACGCGAATAACCACCAGCAAACACCGCCACCCCCGACCTCTCCACCATCCTCCACGCACTCGACACCTTCCAAACCTCCGTCACCGCCTCTCTGGACGACATAAAGGTCACCATGTCGTCCATATCCGACCGCGTCATCCGCTCAAAGGGGACAACCCCTCCATCACGGTCGTCACCACGGCTGCACCTCCCTCCTCCACAGCCGCCTCCAGCAACACCCCCCCGCCGACCTCCTCCACTCCTACCACCTCTACCACCACATCCACCAACCCTTTAACGTCCACTACCGTTTCATTCCCCCCACCTCCTCCCTCATCCGGCGCATCCAGCACACCGCCTTCCTCGCCCATCCACATCACCCCTCTTCCCCCCCCGTACTCCCATACCCTTCCCCAACCCATCATGACGACCTCCACCATCCCCACCATCCGTCCCACCTATTCCCAAGTCACCTCCAGGGTTTACCCCGCAATGCCACAACTCCCCCCCAACTACCTCCTTGAGGACAACAACCAACTCGACTACACCTGCTACGACACCAGCCCCGATAACCTCAACTTCAACACCCTCGCTTGCCCTCTGACTTCTTGCTCCCTTCGCAGCTTAACCCATCCGCCCCCTGCCCCTCTCTCAATGAATGGGTAGCAACAATGAACAGACTCCTGAGAGAAGCCTCCGAAGTCATTGAACGAACCCAAGAACAACAAGCCAACAAGACTAACAAACATAGACGCGACGCCACCCAGTCTTCCATGTCGAGTACCTGAAAGAATACCATGAATCCCCGCCCCAGTTCCCCGACCACCCATATCCTAGACCTCCACCAATCATGCTATCCATAGTCGAAACCATCATCGGTCGACGAACCACTCAGGTATCTGATCAACCGGAACCAATCACTGAATACAAAGTCAAATGGACCGGATACCCCGACGAAGAATCTACATGGGAACCTCTCTCTAATCTTAAGAACGCCATGAAACTTGTCCCCACCTATGATCGTGCTAATCCTATGTCCTAGATACCTATATAACTATGGCATAAACCCTGCTACAACCTCGCAACCCTGCTCTACACACACCCCTTGACCTTCATTCCTAATGTCTGATCTGCCCTTGCCCTCGCCTAGCCTTGTCCCATCTGTCCTCTCCACTACCCTGTCTCTCTTGTCCATGCTTGTGAACCTGCGTGAAGCCGGCGATAAAGGATCTAATGGCAAGCGCACGAGGACGATGGCCTGCTGCCTCACTGTTAATGGAGATTAAGCAGCTGGTTTGGCCACCATGGTGTTTCATCGGCTGGCATCCCGACTCGCGGACTTACTGGAGCAGTTCGTGTACCGGACGCACCCTAGCACTTGGACTTTGACACTTGCACTACTACCACGCTTCTTGGACTTCTACCTATCGCAGCCGCTGAAGACCGCTTCTACCACCTACTCCAAAGGCCTGATCAAGACCGCTGCAGACCCCCTTTCAAGACACTTGGACACTTTGTTCCTACATGAGATTCTGCCTCCGACTCCTTCAGACACACCAGCCCTTGCATCCTGAACAAACATTTTTATTTTTATTTTTCCTGACTTTGACAACCCTGTAGAACATCATTAGCAGATCCTTGTTTCCCTAACCATTGTTCCCCGTACCCAATAGAACATCAATAGAAGTTCCCTGTTCCCTGAACTCTGTTCCCCCTTAACCTATAGCAAACCATGCAGTCCCCTTAGTTCATCAGTAGGACTACCCTGCTCCCTGCCGTCCCTTTAGTTTATTTGTAGGACTAGCCTGTTCCCTGCAACCCCCCCTAGTTCATCAGTAGGACAACTCTGTTCACCGGTATCAACCCTGTTCCCTCTTACTCCCGCAGCCCATGCCACCCACATTATACCCCTCTTCCCTTTCGACTTGTTCACCAGTGATCGGCCCCGTCCCGTCCTTCACAGATTTCAGCATTGCTTCATGATTTTTGGCAGCCGGGACGTTGCCTTCTAGAGGGAGGGGATAGTGTTACGGACTCCGCGAGGGCTCGATCCCTGGTCTATCTTTTTGCTGTTTCGGCTGCATCCCGTTTTCGGCCTGACACCCTTTTTCCAAACCCCTCCTTTGGTACCGTAGGATTTTGGACAACTGGCGCCATGCTGCAATTCGGGCGCTACTTTCAAATACCGCATTTTTTAGTTCTGCCGTCGGGGCCTTTGCAGAAATGCCCCTGGTACCGTACGTGTCACCGGTACTTGTACCGGCTCCCCGTACGGTACGGGGACCAGTCTCGTACCAGTTTTCTGCTGCTGTACTCGTACTCAGTGTGACTTGCTGTTTCGGCATTCGGAATCCAAGACTTCGACTTTGTGCCTTGCCACTGTGTCTGCGTCCGACCCTCAGTCGTGTCGAGTGAGTGAGTGTGTGTGTGTGCTCTCAGTCTCTCCCTCTCTCTCTCCTCTCCCTCGGCTCTCCCTCAGCCTCACGCCCGTCACAAGGAAAATGAACAATAGCGAGATGACAATATTCAGATTGCACAATCACATTGAAAACCAGATCGTATCACAGTGTTCAGAAAGCAGCATTGCACCAATATGACACCAATGGAGAATCGTAACACTGAAAACCGATGTCAATGAGAGCTTGCTCTCGCCACCACGAACATATGTATCCAGGTCCTTCTCCCTACTTGGCACTGGGCGTCCAGCCTACTCGTTACACAGCTACTACTAGCCTACTAATTGACCATGCAACTGTTGACGTCAGCAGCCAACGAAGTACTTGAAGTTGTCGCCTGTAGCAGACCACTGCCAATACCAGGTATGTGCCCTCACATCATCATCATCATCATCCTTCTCTCTCTCCCTTGTCTGACACCCACGTCTTCACTTTGTAAACCCGAAGACCACCCCTGCCCTCACTGTACATCCAAGCCCTTAGCCAGCTATGGAGGCTGGGCTATGGCGCTGTCCTCAGCAGCGCCCTGCTTCCACACACGACTGCATGTGCGCAGCACTTTGCGCCAGCGCTAGCAGCCAGCACGCGAGCATGAGCTCCAGCAGCGCTGCCGCCAGCCAGCAATTGCCCGGATCAATCTCCAGGCAGCGAGCTCTTTCCTATATGGAAAGAGCCTGCCTGTCTTCGCAGCCTGGCTGGCTTGGGCCTGGCCCCAGAAGCTTCCGGTAGGCCCCCGGATGCTGGCCCTCTCTTGCAGCTACTGGGCCTCATTCGGTTGGGCCTCCCAACTGTCTGTGTATGAGGCTGCGATTCTCGTCCAGGGCCTGCATCATTTTGGAAAGGCCTGGAAGGCTGTGGAATGTCTCGCTGCTCGGCCTGTGTTTTCCTCAACCAACTGGCGCGACGAAACTGCCTGGACCCCAAATACGATATTGACAGCTTAGGGCCTCTAGTGATTTGTCAGGCCCGCCTTCACTTGTGCCCCTTAGGCCTGCCGAGGACCCAGGTCCTCACAATAGTTTCAGTGTGCCCCTCATCTTTGTTTTTTTGTCTTTTCTTTACCGTTTGTTTCGCAAAGTGCGCTCTTTTAGTTCATAGTTATGTGACAATATATACAGATCAGCTGTCGGGCAGTCGTTGATGATTAACCACAACCGGGGTTAAGGTGGATTGTCATTTACAGTGTAATCAGTCAGGGGATTCTGCAGACTGTTGAGGGTTCAGCCTCCTGATGAGCCGGAGAAAACTCTGGTGAAACAGTTTGTCACAGCCCCTCGTTTCTTGTCCTCTTGCCGATGGTTTACCGAGCAGTTCTGTTTGACGATATATACATATATTTAGTTGATCCATACAAGTCGACCCGCCGCAGTGAAGGACAGTGACAAAAACATTTTGCGAAACACTCCAGCCATCAGTTGGACCCCATCTTTGCGATGTACCCCTACCGGACGCTCCCAACTTTGCAAAATGGCCCGGCAGTTGCCAACTTTTCATAGGTGCAATTGCAAAAGGCCAAGAGAATTTGCTCACGCACCTGACAGGGGCATAACAGAGACATGCCAGTCCAAAAAGCCATTCCACTGTGCCCATATCGTTTATGGACATTTTGACATATATCTCAACTTATGGGGGTATTTGGAAAATTACTCCCCCCCCCCGCCAAAAAAAGGAGACTCTCTCTCTCTCTCTCTCTCTCTCTCTCTCTCTCTCTCTCTCTCTCTCTCTCTCTCTCTCTCTCTC